TTGGTAAATTCATTTCCCTTGGACTTTCATGGGAAACAGTCTCTTCTGAATGCTGCTGCAATGTAGAGAAAAGATACCAGCAGAGAGCATGAGAGCACTTGCTTTGTGGATAACAGATCCTTTATGAAAGAACTATTCTGTCCCCCTGTGCACACTTGTCCTAACATGTCACAATTTCTCCTTTGCCGATCTGCCACCACTGTGCCGATTCCTTCCTTGTTGACTTTGGCAGGAAGTTCATCCAAACCAAGTGTCTGGTGACAAATTCTTGCTCTGACAAAGTATAATCCTGCTGGGAGCTTTGAACATAGCTATTAAAATGTTTCACAAGAAAAAGCAGCACGTCACATCTGTATCTCCCCTTGTCAAAGATGCTGAAAACATCCATGCTTCAATAAAGCAATCGTGAATTGTCAGCATCTATTGCAACCTGTTCAGCATAGTGAAAACTTTTGGCCACATGGAAAATTGTCTCTTCCACTGCTTTTGCATTTGCCCCATTCCATCTTCTTGCATTTTCCTGTGGGATAATGCTAGCTAATACTACCTTGGTTCTTGGAGCATGTGGGAACTTCATGGAAACCAGATCTCATGAATGGCACCTGGAATTATCTATTAATTCATTACAATACCAACTAGGTACAGTCCAATGATAAGGAAGACCACTGAAGTAATTTTAGCCTTATTGTTTTTTCATGACACTTCACCTCCTACATACCTACATGCCCAAGGGACTTATGAAAACGAGACTTTGGTTTATAAATCTCTTTGCACTTCTGAAGAATATTACCTGAGACCTTCACCTAATAAACAGATGGATTAAACTAAACTAAAATGCCTGCAGTCTTGCCCAGGATTTGTGTGCAGAATTGGATTTAATTAGATTTGATTATTTAATTAATGCAAACCCCAGGTAGGTACCATTATTTCTGTTTATGAGCATCTTCCACTGACTTAACTTGATTCCTTGCTAACTTGAACCAAATAAGAAACTGAAGAGTTTTAAGTAAACCCAGTACAACCTTATGAGGAGAGACTGAGGGAACTGGGGTTATTTAGTCTGCAGAAGAGAAGCACGAGGGGGGATTGAATAACAGCCTTTAACTCCCTGAAGCAGGGTTCAAAAGAGGATGGAGCTGGACTGTTCTCAGTGGTGGCAGATGGCAGAACAAGGAGCAATGGGCTCAAGCTGCAGCAAGGGAAGTTTAGGTTGGATATTAGGAAAAGCTTTCTCACTAGGAGGGTGGTGAAGCACTAGAACGGGTTACCTAGAGAGGTGGTGGAGTCTCCATCCTTGGAGGTTTTTAAGGTCTGGTTTGGCAAAGACCTGGCTGGGACGATCTAGTTAGGGATGGTCCTGCTTTGAGCGGGGGGGGGGGTGGAACAAATGGCCTCCTGAGGTCCCTTCCAACCCTAATTTTGTATGATTTTATACGCCTTTCACACAGACAAGTCCTTAGGCTTGCTCCAAACAGGGGTTGTTGCATGACACTGAGAATGGTTGTTGGAGGTATCACCTACATTATCAGAGCCACTAATACTGATTCACCTAAATCTCTGTCTCCAATTATAGGAGGAAATTTTTCAAATGTTTCCCTCATGTAGACAAGGCCTTAGCAAAATGAAGCCAAAAGAAAAGATCTAGTCACCTCAGACTTTCATTCCATTTCCCTTTTGCCCAAGTTTAGTATTGCTTCCAGGTCTTACTGTACTCAAGGATGGGGAAAACAAGCGTCCAATAGAAACAGGGAAGTGAGAACATTTGTAAAGGCCAGAGAGGTTTAAATAAATGATGAGTCTGGTCTTTCCTGATGCTATGATTTGTGGGGCAGGGTTTCACATGCGAATGGTCTGTGGGACAGGAGGTTTTTGTTATTGCACAACAATCCTTCCTATAGCAGTATGTCTACTGGTTTTAAGTAGGTGGGACCAAAACCTTATATGCATGTTTCAGAATACAATTACCAGCCCAAGAGAAGGTAATCATTGACCTAGTTCTACTGACTTGAATGCATTTAACCTGCAACGTACAGTACTCATGGCACAAGCTTCCTTTATTATTTGTCCCCCCCTACCTAGGCAAGACAACTTGTATTAGGATGACTGAAGGATTAGAATACAATCCTTTCATACCATTAATCTGGCTTAGTAGGGAGGTCTTTGATTCCACAACACAATTAAAGCAACATCTACAACAAGAGTCTGTCTCCTGAGAGAGAGGGGCAAAGGCTAAACCTGCAGCATCATTTAACTTAGCTTGGAGAATTGCAGACCAGAGCTTCCAGTGCACATGAGTAATTAATCACAAACAGCAAGAATTCAATAATTCAAACCAAACTACACAGCTCATTTCTAAGCAATTTATTATAGTGCAAATCAATGGCAGCGTTACTCATAAAACTTCTCCCTGGGAAAAAGCAATAATTCATCCAAAATTCATCACACTGTGGCTAGTTTGAGGGGAAAATGTTGTTTGACATCATTAATGCAAGTGTTAGACAACAACAAGTACAAGACACAACTGGAGTAGTGAGGGCTAAGGGGTGCATAATGGACTATATATTTTACTTTTTAATGACCAATGAATGGCAGCAAGTTTATAAATCTCAGGCCAGTTCAATAATCTGAAAGATGATATACATTAACAAGCCATCAGGGACATGGCACACAAAGAAGATTCTCCAGCTTATCCACAGGGAAAAAACCCAAACTGCTTAATTATGTAAAGATAGAGAGACAAAAATGCTGTAAATATTGCTGACAATTCTTATATGAGATATGTGGGAAAGCAGATCAGGAGGAGGGGGGTGACAAATTTGGATGCAAACTATATACACCTGTCTCTGCTGCCTTTTATCTCATCTTCCTGCCCCCTAATTCTCCTCTTTGTTTATTCCTCCATTGCATTTGGTCACCCAAATCTTTGGGAGCTTTGAGAGGCAGGCTTGCCTTTGTAATGACTAGCCGCATCTACACATGCGCTTTACTGTGGAATAGACCAATTAGCTGTGGAGTAAAGTGTCACTGGGCATGTCTACATGTGTCCCTATGGCACCTTTGTTACTGCACTGTCATCTAGTACTTCCTTTTGGAAGTAGTAAATGATGCCACAGTAACAACTTGTATTGCACCATGCATGCTGCGCATGGTTGTTTTTAGCTGCTATGTCACTGTAGCAATGCGCTATAAAAGAACGCGTTGCTACGGCAATGTAGCTGGGGCATCAGAATTTGTGACCAAGGCTACATCTCTGTAGTGCATTGCTACGGTGATGTAGCGTCATATGTAGATGCTCCCACTGTCTACATATGTGACGGTATACTACTTTACACCTGCAACAGTAAACGAATTTACACCTGTGTAAGATAGTACTGTCGGCGCTGGTCCTATCTTATGCCAGGGTAATTTATTGCGATTAAACGCACATGTAGATGTGACCATGGGCATAAATTGAGCCTGGCCAGCCCAGCAAGCTGGGGGCCAGACTCTTGCCTGCCACCTAGCCACATGGCTCTGCATTTTCAGCACTCTCATGCCCTAGCCAGCCCTTGGCTGCTTGATGCTGCAACCCAGAGCCCAGGGCTGACCCCCCATATCTCCTGCTAATGTAGGCCTGGTCCACTTTGACTCAAATTGCTGCAGTCCCAGGTGCATGTGTAGACACTGCACCCGGGAGTAGTTTCCTCCAGTTTAACTGCTTCCAAGTTCATTTTTTCGCATTAATTGCATGTGTAGATGAACCCTGTGTGTAGCAAATATATTGCAGCAGAGATGGCCAAAAGTGGCACAGACAGCCCATATGTGTAGCAGGCAGCAGACTGGGAAGGAGACAGGCCGTACAATGGCAGATAAGGCAGAAAGCAGAGCAGCAGATCAGGCAGAAAGCAGACTAGCAGCTTGGTCAGGGAGCACAGAGCAGGGAGCAGAAAGCTGAGCAGCAGATTGGATGAGGGGAAGAGATTAGAGTGGCACTCAGGGAGGGCATGAGGCTAATCTGTGGCATGTCTGCCAAAAAGGTCGGTCCCCATTATATTAGTATGCTCTGAATTACTCACTGGGGACATTAGGCACTACACAACAGAAAATAATAATTAACAGTTGCAAGAAGCAAGGATTTTGTTGGGTGCTATCTTTTATTGAACCAACGATGTGGCTGGGATAGACTTCAACAAGCATTTGAAACCTTGTCTATCCCAAACATACAGTTGGGCCAATAAAAGATATCACTCAGAAAATCCATGCCTCTCACATAATTCCTGGACTATCATGACCACATCACTCCAACACTACCAATCATCCATTGTTATTTCTCTATCTTACCTCTGCTCCTTCCATTCCCAAACTGTGGTCCACTGGCTACCAGCAGTTGGATGGCTGTCTGAGAACCAGCTACATCTTTTTTGTTTCAGCTGCCTTTACTAGTGTCTGAGCTCTTCACTGAAAAAAAATCTGGTGAAATAAGGGGAAATAAGGAAGAGCCCCCTTCCCTGAACTGTTTTGGCCTACTGTGCTTTTTCTGTAGACTTTCCACTTACACGTGATACAGTGGTGAGAATGAAACAGGTCAAGCATGCTGCTAAGTGGACAGCCCAGGTTGGTAGGTAGCAGAAAGAAGTGAACCATTGGTCTGCCCTATTTTTGCCAAATTATAGGAATGTGATCTGTTATAGGGAATCTAATGGTCAGGTCCCATCCTGCTACAATTACAACCCAGGTAGAAGTCCTTCCCCATTGTGAAACACGCTAGATGTTCAGATGGTTTACAATTTAGGTCATTTGCTTAGACATTTCAACACTGAGCCCAATTTCATTCCTCTGGGTTCTGAAAACGCTGATCTCAGCTTTTGGATAAGCAGGCTCTCTTGAAGATCTTGGCACCTCCAAACACACTGGCTGGCATCAGAGCTCGAAAAATGTATTTTTGCTTCTATGCTAACTGGCGCTTATTTATGTTTCCATACTGGTGCCTGGTACTCAAAGTGAAATCCAACATAGGCGTCTTTCAGTCTTTGTTTGAACTTTATTTAAAAATCTGACTTTGAGGGAAAAGGTCCTCAGGGTGAAACAGTACATTATATTGTATACGATATTATATGAAGAAATTTCTGGCAACACTTGTTCATCCAAGATGCTATGTCTCCCTGTATTTATATCGCTTTGTAACAGCTGGCCTAAGCGCAAGCTCATATAGTTACACCCGTGCAGAACCTCACCAACTGAAAAGCAAATGACAATACATGTACATAGGAAACTACTCACAAGACTGGGCCTTTATACAGTAAAGCACACTTTGCAAGATTATCAAAGCCCTATTCCTTCGTGAACAGAATGGTCCTTAAAATGTGTTCACAGAGACAGATTCCCTGCAATGCCCTGCAATGCCCATATACCAGACTGGCTGTATGCATATGTGACTTTTTAATAATCACTTACTAGTATCTAAGTTTCACTTCCTAATGAGCTGGAACACTGAATATTGATTTCTTTACTGCACAGACATATAATTCAGTTATTTTTGCCCTAGACTTGAGCAGCAGTGAACTGTATCAATTATTTCTCAAAGATCTCTTTCTAAATTGAATTAAAAGATTTGAATCCAGAAAAGCCTTCTGATTTTTCTTCAGGCAACACTATACACATAAAACATACATTAAAAAAATCCCCAGGCAAAAACTTCTTGAGCTAATACTGCAAAAAATAAGTTACCAAAGGGAAAATAAACATGAAAAATATGCATAGAAATCCCTAGCTATTCAAAGGAAAGACGTAAAGTAACAATGTATACTTCAAACACCCTTAAGCAATAACGAGTAAAAGTCCCATAGGGACCATGGGGTAAAGAAGCAAATTAGAGCAACCACTAGGTTATTCTGACATCCAAGTTTGCAAATATTGGCTGATACCACTTCCTGCTCACGCACCCATGAACTGTGCAGAACTTGGATGCAAGGAAGAATCTAGCACTATGTGTTTTAAAATTTAATGACACATTTCTGGTACATCCTGTGGACTGGGGAGCCGTAAACCTCTATGAGATGATATTAAAAGAGGATTTATGACTATTAAATTGATCCATGTTCTCCTTTGTGAGGCTGCAGTCGTTTCTTACCCACTCCATTGAGCAAGGCAAGCTGAACAGTAAACCTCAGTTCCTACCTTAGTGTTTCTGGTCTTGTAAACTACAGGTCACAAGTTCAAACCTTCATCTTACTTAAAAATGTGTCAGCAGCATCCATAGTTTCAAAATGTCAGGACAGATTTCATGAATTTTACTGTAGCTTTTTAAGGCCCTGGATTAAACAATAGATGAGAATCCCTTTCATGCTTATTCTCATATTCAAAATGGCCATTAAAGTCCTCGTTCAAAGATGATTAATTTTATGAGGCTGGCTCCTGTGTCTCAATTGTTGATCATGGTTTTATTTCTGAGAGAAAAACATCACTGGTCAAATTTATCCAAGACGCTTGTCTGTTGACCTGGGCGGTGAATATCAGGGGCTATAAGCTGTACAGGAGGGACAGGACAGGGAGGAAAGGCGGGGGCATGGCGCTGTACATCAAGGAGGTATACACGTCCTCACCAGGTAGCACAGAGCCAGAGGAGGGGCACGCAGAAGTGCTCTGGGTTAGGATACAAGGCAGTCCAGGGGAAAGAGACTTAACGGTGGGGG